TTGCCAGGCAAGCGCTTATGCCAGTGAGCTATATCCCCAGCCCCTGTTTTAATATTGAGATCTGTGATCCATTTTGACTTTAGTTTGGTGCATGGTGATAGACTTGGGTCTATTTTCAGTCTTTGGCAAGTGGCAAGCCAGTTATTATGCAGCATATTGTTGGATTTTGTTTTTTAATCCACTCTTGTCAGTCTGTTTCTTTTCACTGGTGAATTGAGACCATTCATATTCATGGTTATAATGGATATGTTTTGGCTTGTGTTTGTTACGTTATTTACTTGCTGTTGGTTTCCTACTTTTTCTCTCTGTTTAATTGCTTGCTTTGCTTGAGAGTTCCTTTCTGTTGTTGTTCTTGAAATTGTGGTCATTTTTTCCTCTGTCTAGAATATCTTTTAGTAGTCTTCGTAAGGTTGGTTTGGAAATATTTTATTTCTCCATTGAATTTGAAGGATAGTTTTGCAGGATACATCCATCTTGGTTGGAAGCTGTTTTGACTCAGCACCTGTAATACTTGACTCGAAGCTCTTCTGTATTGGATGGTTTGTGTTGAGAAATCTGCTGTGATTCTGATGGGCTTTCCTTTATAGGTGAGCTGTTTCTTTTCTTTAGTGGCTTTTAATATTCTGTTCTTTTGCTGTATGTGTGGGGTCTTGATTACTATATGTCTGGGTGTAGTTTTATTTTGTTTATGACTAGTTGGAGTTCTATATGCCTCACTTACCTGTACATCAAAATCTTTTTCCATGCTTGGGAAATTTTCTGCTATTATTTCTGCAAATACTCTTTGTGTCATTTGTTTTGCCTACTGTTGTTTCATTGATCCCTATTAGTCTTACATTATTCCTCTTTGCCTCATCTTTCAGCTGTTGAATTGATTTTTCCTGGTTCCTTGTTAATTTTAAGAGATCCTTCCTTTCATGATCATTAGCTGCCATGCTGTCTTCAAGATCTGAAATCCTGTCTTCGGCTTCATTCAAGTGGTTTTGCCAGCTTTCATTGAAAGTTTTGATTTCCTGGATATCTCTTTGAGTCTATTTCATGCATTCTAGTTCACTCCTATATTTTTCATTTAACATTTCCAACAGATTCCTATGCTCATCTTTTTTTTTTTTTTTATGTATTTCTTCTTTAGATGTGCTGAGCAGTTCTTTTATTATTATTGTCATTTCATTTTTTTTGCCTGAGAGATTATTTATGATCTGATGTCTTCTATGGCCTGGTGGAGTTGTTCCTTTACTTTCATTGCAATCATTTCAGCAATTTCAGGTGTGTTTACCAAGTTCTCCTATGTTGATGTCTCCTGGACTTGTTCTGGGTGCAGTAGAGTTCTGAGATAGCATTTTAGTTCTTTGTCCTGTCTTGTTTGATGCCAGAGGCAGAATGCTCAGTCTCCCTCTTTCCTGGCAGCTCAGCAAAGGTCTCTAGTGTCTCTAGTTTTCCTGGTGTTCAGACTTGACCCTCAGTAGCTGCTGAGATGGGCTGCTCACTCTGGGGTCTTCCAGTTATTTGTGAAGTGTACCTAGTTCTCCCAGGTCACACACACAAAACTGCAGTGTTGGTGGATCACAGATCACTTGACCCAGTGTCCCCAGTCAGCCCAGGGCACGTGTATGACCCAGAAGTGGGCTGCACTGGTGACATGATCACGGACCACTTAGTCCTGTGTCCCCAGACAGTTCAGGGTGCAGGCAGAGCCCAGATATGAACTGCAGAGTCAGCAGTTTGTGGACTGCCTGATTCGGTGTCTCCAGTCAGCACAGAGTGCATGCAGGAGCCAGATGCATGCTGCATTGGTGGCGATCGTGGACCACCTGTTTCTGTGTCCTCCGGGAGGTCAGGGTGTGTACAAAGCCCAGATGCAAAAATGTTGTGACAGCAGTTCGTGGACCGCCTGATCTAATACCTCAGGTGGCACAGGGCAGGAGCAGGGAGGGTTCAAACGCGAGCCCTGGTATTAGTGGTTTGTGGGCCTTCTGAGCCAGTGTCTCCTGGCTGCATTGGGTGCACAGAGGGTGGAGATGCAGGAGGGATCTCAAGTAAGAATTGAAGCCCATCGGGAGAGCAAAGAGAGAAACTTCAATGAGGAAAGAGGCAGGAGCACTTTCTCCCTGAACCCGGACTCACTGTGTGGGAGGGTCAGCTCCAACCTGCAGTTACTTGAATTTATCATGCTCTGTCATGCATCTGAGCTTTTATATGTGCTGTGGTTTCTTTCCGGAATAATTGTCTTGCTTGGTAAGCCATAATTAATTTTTAAAAAAAATCTCAGGTATTTCTTTTGGGAAGTCTTTCTTGACATTGGAGTTTCCAGAATGGTGATGATGGTTGTGGTGGTGATAATGATGATGAGTGCAGCAGTGCCTAAATGTGCCAAAACTTGTTATTGGTAACTACCGAAGTGGATAATATTGCTCCCATTTTATAGATATGGATATAGTAGTACAGTACAGGTGTCTTTCAGTAAATCCTCCAAGAAACTAGTAAAGCAGAATTTGAAGCAAGGCAGTCTGGCTCATATCTTGCTTATAACTAGTATGCTGTAGTGCTGTCACCCCTGCTTTTGAGTTTTCCGTGTTTATCTTTTACGTATTTCTCTTTTTGCGCTTACTTTGTGGTGCATTTGTTAAGACATTTGGCTCATTGAAAGTGAAACTTGTATGTCTAATGTTTACTCTGTTTACTTACCGTCTACTTCTTTTTCTCTCATGAAGGTGACAGTAGGGGTGGCAGTGATTGGGTGGAAGGGAGAATGTACATCCTGCCTGAAAGCATGTTCCTTCAAATTGAAAAACAAAACTGTGTGCTGCTGAAATAACACCCTCTGTGGGAAAGATTCCTTGTTTGTTATTATATCAGCTTTGGTATTAACATTGTAAATGCTTAAATCTTTGTGAAATTAGTTCATTTTCTAGCCTGAGATAAGTATGGGGGATGAGAGTCCTCTTCAGGTAGATTAATGGTTTATTAGAACTTATTAATATTTTCTTAATGGTCTCCATTCACTAGAGAGTGAAAAGGAAAGACAAATGTTGTAACTAGATGAAAACTCAAAAGGCTGAATTTGTTCTTTTCTATTTTCATTTTTCTTTTCTTTCTGCAGTGCCCACTAATGATTGTTTCTGTGGCATTTACATTGCGCAATCTCCATATAATGTAGATGCTATCTGATAAACAGTGTAACCCGAACAATAAGTTCAGTTCTACTCAAGAACGCCCAAAGGAAAGGTTAAAACAGAGTTTCTCCTTTGCTCAGTCTCATTTAACTCTCAGGAAAAGAAAAAAATGGGAAGAAGATACAGCACCTGTGTTAGCCTTAACAAAATACCATAGACTGAAGTGAAAGAACTGGCTTAACCAACAGGACTTAATTTTCTTAGCTTCTGGAGCTGACCGGCTCAGTCCCTGAGCAGAGCTTTTTTCTGGATTCCAGGGCTCTTCCTGTACTGTCCCATTGTGGACAGGGTGTGGGGAGAGAGCTGTCTGATGTCATAACCTCTTCTAAGCCCAATTATCTCCCAGAAGCTCCACCTCTGAATGCCTTTGTATTGGAGGCTAGTGCTTCACTGTATGAATTTCGAGAGAGACACAGTTTAGTTCATAGAAATGCTATAATAACTTTGGCGACTTACTTACATCTTAAAAATTTGGCCATTACTAATAATGTTTTGGAGAGTCTTCCCAAAAGAGGAAAGCTTTTCCCTTAAGTTTTATGTCTGACCTTATTTATCAGGTTTTTAAAAATAAAATCTCTAGATTTTATAGTATCAACTTCTGGACACCACAGGCTTCTCCCGTGGATTATGTTACTTTGGCTTCAGTGAAGACTTTGCTCCTTTCCCTCTTGCACTCTGCTCATCTTCCAGGTGTCCTTCTTGGTCTTGCTATTATCGCATAAGTTTTAGTATGGGCTTTTTTTTCCTTTGCAGGTGGAGACCACATGGCTTTGCAAGGCCAGAGTTAATGAAGATCTTACATAACTCGCTGGATGATTCCTTTAAACGCCTCATTTATCCTCTCCTCTGTAGACAGTTCAGGTATGTACCTTGTCTTGTTTAATTCTGTGATCTGTGTATTATTATGTATGTCCTAGTCCCTTTAAGGCGTATAGTAAATATTTGTTGATTAAGCCAAAGACCTTAGAATGGTTTCAATCTGTAGATGTGTTCATGAGCATAGATCTTAAAATGTTCTTAATTGTGATATATTTAAATCTTGACCAGTTACTGCATACCCGTTCCATTTTTATAATACTTGCCCTGTGATTTGACAATCAAGCAAACAGATGGTTTTATTGATTAGAGATTTAGCTTAGAAGAAAAACCTAGAGAAGTTACTTTATGGCATGTTTTAGAGGTAAGAGAGCCAAAGAAAGCATAAAGAAGTTAGTAGAGGGTATGATGAGTTTATTACTATGAAGAGAGAAAGCTAATGCATGTTTTTAAATCTCCAAATAGGAATCATTGGATGAAAATTATCAGCAATGAGGAGCAAATATCAGATTATTGAAATAACCATATCAGTGAACTAGTAGAAGTTCTAATCATAATGGAGTGAAAACTGCTAAAGAGATGAGGTGCGCAATTGACTTTAGGGAGAAGATAGAAAGAAAAGAAATATGGGGAGGCAAAAGCCTTCTGTCTTGGTGCTCTCTCACCTTTTCATGGTAGTTACTTTTTAGAAAGTGTCCATTTCCTTACACAGTCATTCCTGTCTGCTGTACATTTCCTGCATTTTCAAATTTTTGTAAGTTTCAGCAAAGACTGCTTGGGGACTGTGGAGTTCTAGCCATCTCATCATCCTCACTAGAATTTCTAGCCGACTGTGTAATGTTTGTTCTTCTTTTGCTGAGCTTGGCTGTTGAGTTCAGAGCACGGAATGAGCAAGTGCTATCAACAACAAATATAAGTCTATTGTCTACTTTCTGTTTATGGGCAATTTTCATTCTCTTGTTTGATCCTTTTTGTGTGTGTGTGTCGGGGGGAGGGTAACTAGGGATTGAACTCAGGCCCTTCACCCTGAGCTACAATTCCAGATCTCTCTATTTTGAGACCTGGTCTCACTAAGTTGTTACATTGCCCAGGCTGAGATTGAACTCAGCCTCCCAGAGTGCTGGTACTATAAACATGCACTGCCACACCTGATGTTCCCTGAAAACATTGTTCCTTTTGAAACTTTATTTCAAGTCTGTGTGAAGTAACATCTCTTGATTTTGAGTGCTGGAGCATACATTTTAAGGGATTCTGTTTTTAGTGAAAAGTTCTCTTATTTAAAATTTCAATTCTTGTTTGTGTATTTATTCCTTGTCTTGTGTTTTCATGTTCATATAATGGCCAGTACTGTGTTCAGCATTTTTGCATATATTTGGAGTGACTGCTTCATGTGGAATAATTTCATTGAGACTGAGTGTAAGCAGTTTGGTGTTTTTGATTGCTTGATATGTAGTCCTTTCTTGGTTTCTGTTAGAAATGGGAAAGCAATAGCACTTTACTTCTCTTTTTTTTAAATGCCTGTGGTTCAAACCATACAACTTACTTCAGTTCCTAAGTTGGTTTGTAGATGTTGTCTAGAAGTGTGTCTCTTGATAGAAATACTTGAACAGCAGTTCAGGAGAGGAGTCCCTGTTGGTTTTATTTTTCTAGTTGAAAAGAAATTTTTCTGGGTTGTAAAAAAATACAAAGAATCAGTAACACACAAATGAAAAAAGCCCTGTAGTCTCACCACCTAGAAATAAACATTGTTAATCAGTTTTCTCCTTTTATGTATGTAAATTAAAAGAGATTATGTAGACGAGTGTTTTGTAGATACATGATTCAGCTGACTATGTCTATGCATAGCGTCCTTCTGCATTTCTTACCTTCATGACTGTCACGATCATTTATCCATGTGTCATTTTTCACATCTGCTTCTGTCATCCGTTCTGCTTTGTCAGTTACCAGGTGCTTTCTAGTTTGCTGTCTTTTATTATGTCTTCAATCGTTCCTCTGTATCTACATGTTACCACCTTAATTCAGGACATTGGCATTTCTGTCTGGGTTGCTGTACTATAGACATAGAGGGTCTCTGCCTTCTGTCTTGTCTTTTCCAGTACAGAGTCTACATTGCCTTTTTGTTTTGTTTTGTTTTCCGGTATCAGGAATTGAACTCATGACCTTGCGCTTGCCAGGCAGGCGCTATGTTGCTGAGCTAAATCCCCAGCCCCTACATTGCCTTTTAAAATTCTCATTTCATTGTTTGATGCTTGAGTACTTAAATTCCTCTGTGGATCTTCTTTTTCTTTAGGATAAAATGCAAGTTCTTTAGAAGAACATATATGACAAACTCTATGTGATCTAATTTTGTCTTGCCCTGACAGGTTTCATGTCTTTGCTATTTCTTTACTTTTGTTTTTAAGACAAGGTCTCACTATGTAGTTCAGGCTGGTCTTGAACTTGCAACAATCCTCCTGCCTCAACCTCCAAGTGCTGGGATTACAGATGTGTGCCACCACACCTGACTTTGTATTTTACTTCAGTGTATGAAATTACTGATTTTTTCTATAGTGAACCATGGACCTTTGTATGCTGCTTTCCTTGTCTAAGGTATCTTTTCCCTGCTTTCCATCTTACAGTCCCCACCTTTGTTTGCTTCACTTTATTGCCTTTCTTTTTTGATTTAATTGAGAAGACATCTCTTCTAGAAAGTTTTCCTAATGTAGTTGTCCCTCTGTGGGTTCCCTGCGTATCACTGCTTTAGACTTGTCTGGGTCTTTTGTTGTTGTGGTTGTTGTTTGTTTCTCCCACTAGACACTGTGATCTTCAGGCAAGTATCTCTTCAGCTTTGTTTCCTTTATGTCAATCATGGCACATTGTGTCAGGCTCTCAGCGAATGCTTCCCAATAAATAAAGTTAAGAATGAAGATTTAGAAATCCCTGCAGTGAGACTTTTTATCTTTTTTGGATGTGAGATTGTGGCATTGAAGTGTCAGGAAAGATGAGAGAAACCCTTAGCAACTAATCTGGAGACATAGCTGTGCATATCTTTGTATGTGTAGAAATTCTGCCTCAACCCTGATGTGAAGTGTTCTTTTAATTATTGTTGTATGCTCATTTTTCTCCCCTGGCCAATGGCATGTATTTTTTTATGTGATTTAGGAAAGAAGACATACTTTTTATAAATTCTTATGGATTTCAGGAGCTAATATCTTGAGAGCTTTTTTTAAGTAGATGAGTCTATAACAAACTTGTTTTCTAAGTGCATTTAAGTCCATAATAGACCTAATTTTATCTTACAAGTTCTTAAAAATATACTTTTGGTCACTCTCTGAATAAAACTGGGAAGAGTTTGTATGAGGCATGGTTCTGGATTGAGTGCTAGTGTCTGTAGTCATGGTAGTCACTGACAGTGACAGGGAATGACACAGATGGGGAGAGTGGAGTAGAGGAGAGGACACTGAGGTATTTATACACGAAGGCACAAAAGTAAATATTATTGGAGGAAACTACCTATCTTTCAGTAATTTATCATTTTAATTTTGTTTCTATTTTAAATTACTTGATAAGTATTAATTTGACATCCATGTGGCATCCAGATATGCCTCTCATATACGCATGGTGCACATGCACACACCCACTTAGTTATGCACACAACTTTTACATAGTATAAAGAGCAGAAGGTAAGTATAACAGACTTATAAAGTTTCCTCCCGAATTATTTTTGGTGAATAGCTAAAGTAGACTCTATAATTTTTATATGATTTTTTTCATTTTATTTGTTACAGTACATGTTTCTGTGAGGAATATTGAACAAAATAAATTCTGCTCTTTTTCTGGGAAGAAAATAGCAATGAAAAGCTACATACTCTTTCTTTTCTTCTTTTCTTTTCTTTTCTATTCCTAAAGAGCCAAACTGACATCAGATGCAGAGAAGGAGTCAGTGATGATGTTTGGACGGAACCTTCGTCAGCTCCTCTTGACGAGCCCTGTTCCAGGACGCACCTTGATGGGAGTAGATCCTGGTTACAAACATGGCTGCAAATTAGCTATAATTTCTCCTACCAGTAAGTTCTCTCTCAGTTTTTAGTATAATGATCATAAGTTTCATTTCATAGATTTTATGAGGATTTGGAAATAATGTTAAGTTTGAAGTTTAGAAAATGGTTTTCTCACAGGGATGTGAGAACCAGAAAATAAATGTCAGATTTCCTTCCTCTGCTCACCCAAGCCCTGAACATGTCACCATCATTACTGCTTTCCCTATGTCTCAGTGGAGAACCTGATGTTTGACTAGGATTAGACTTGAACTGTTACCCTCATTAATTTTGCTTATTTTGTTGTATTCACATATATTTTCATACCAAGAGACATTTTTGTTTTGTCTAGTCAATATTTTTCTGCTATTTACTCACATATTTACATTCCTGTTAGTTTTCTTTCTGCATTTCTGTGTTTCTATTTGAAAACATTTTGTTTCTGTCTTGAAAATTTCTTTGCTGTTACTTTTAATGTGAGTCAGCTATTGAAAAATTGTCTCCGTTTTGTTTATCTGAAAAAGTCTCTCTTTTTCCTTCATTTTTAAAGGTTGTTCTTTTTTTATAAAATGGTGCTGGGAATTGAACAAATGTAGGGCCTTGCTTATGGTAGGTGAATGTTCTACCGCAGAACTACATCCACAGCCACTGAAGGATATTTTTGATGAGTATAGAATTTGAGATAGGTAGTTACTTACATCATTCCAGTTTTATTTTTTTTCTGCCTAAATTGTATGTTGATAAGTTGCCAAAACATTGTTCCTTTTGAAAGTAATATATCTCTTTTTTCAACTGCTGAGATTTTCTCTATGCTTTTTGGGAATTTTTTTTTTATGATGTGCTTGTATGTCTGTGTGTGTTTACACAAATTCTGCTTGAAGCATTTAGAGCTTTTAGCATCAGTTTCTATCAAAAGTATATTATATATCTGTGAGATCTTTTAATTTCTGTTTCCCATTTTTTATTTTCTGTTGATTGTCTGAGTTTATTAATCATTTTTTCTGCTCTATCTGATTTACTATTAAATCTTGAACTTTTTATTTAAATTTTTTCAGTTTTAGAATTTCATTTGATAGTTTTTTTTTGTTGTTGTTGTTGTTCTGGGAATTGAACTGAGGACCTTGCACTGGACAGACAGGTGCTTGTACCACTGAGCTATATCCCTGGCCCTCATTTGAGTTAACAAAATAAATTGTAGTCCCTTTGTGAACTTCTTTACCTTTCAGTATTTAAAAAATTATTATTATTATTATTTTTTTTTTTGTCTTTTTGAGATAGGGTCTCGCTATGCAGTTCAGGCTGGCCTTGAGCTCACTTTGTAGCCCAGGCTGGTCTCGAACTCACAACAATCCTCCTGCTGCCTCAGTCTCCGGAGTGCTGGGATTACAGGCATGCGCCACCACACCTGGCTAAAAAATTAAATCTTTAAAATTTTTCTTTGATTTTTCTTAGAACTTTTATTATTGTACTTACTTGTTCTTGTCTTTCTTTTGGTTCAAGTTTTTCCTTGAACTGTTTTTCAGTCCATATTAAATTAATTCCTAATTTATATAATTCTTGAGGTTTTCTAATTCTGATGTATGTTATTCTCATCTTTTATAATTTTTTTTTAAAGCTTGATTTCACTTATTAAGTTCTGTTTTGTGGGCACAACTTTCTGAAAGGACACTAAACTGGCTTTTTAAAAAATTTCCTATCTTTAAAAAAAATCATTTTAAGTAGAATAGGCCATTATTCTTTTGATTAGTTTTACCTAAAATTACTTTTCCTGAACTCTTAAGAGAACATCCTGGGCCAAGAAGGATTTTCTAGCTTTTTATCTCTAGAATATTCCTTCTACTTCCCTCACATTTTTGAAAAAGCAAGCACAGTTCTTGTGGACAGAGAGTAGTCTTGCACTTCCTAGAATCTGCTTCTGTCCCCTTTCCCCTCTTGTGTGCAGGCCCCCCTTTGCGTGCGCTCTGTCTTTCCTGCTCACTTTGCATGTTATTGCAGTGGCTTCTCCTCAAAAGGGATCTTTTCTCCCTTTTTGTTTAAAGAGTTCAGAGGTAGGAGTTTTCTAGATCTTTCAGAACTCACTGGGCAGCCTGAATTTCCCCCAGTTTTAGTTCCTGTTCTCAAGCTAATTGTCGCAATTTTCAGTGAAATGCTTTTTTGAGATTTTGGGATTTTCCATTCTCAGTGCCATCACGTACTCTGTGTCTTCTCTCTGCTTCTCTTTGCTTCCTTCCCACATGCCCGTGAGTCTCTTAGCTGTCAGCGCCTTGTTCGCACTTGCTCAGGGTTTAGGTTTTGAGGGATATTTGTTAGCTTTGTTATAGCTATGGTCATGGACTTCTGATTTGTTGTTCTCCTCGTGCCTTTCATTTCTATAGTAAATGGGATACGTTTTATCATTTTTTTCATGCATCTATTGAGGTATTATGTGGCTTTTTATCCTTTACTGTGCTACTATGATGAATTATATTATTTAGGTTTTAAAAAATGTCAAATTATACTTTCTTTAGATAACTTCAACATGGTCATGATACTTATGATACTTTCTTCCAGATATGTTGATAGTTCAGTTTTCAGTATTGTATTGCTTATAGGATAATTCTTTTTAAAATAGTAAACACACAGATGTACTTAGTCTGTGTGGGTAACATTTTCCTAGGAATATGTCTGTTCTGTCGTTTGAATTAACATGCAATTAATAGTCATTTTAATCTGTGCTCTCTCTAGTTATATCTTCTTTTCATTTCTAATGTATTTGTGTCTTCTATTCTTCTTGATTAGCACTGCTAAAAGTATGTGTTTTCTATGTAGTTTTTTTTCTTTCTTAGACAAGGTCTCATTCTGTAGTTCAGGTTGGCCTTGAACTCACCATACAGCCCAGGCTGGCCTTAAACTTCTGGCAGTCCTCCTGCCTCAGCCTCTTGAGTGCTGGGATTACAGGCACATGCCAGTATATGCAGTTTTCTTTTAGTATAAATTTTCTTAATCTTTTCTATTGTATCCATCACTACCCATTTTATTAATTTAACTATCATTTCTACCTTTGTTTTCTTTGGGTTATTTTGTTGTTCATTTCCTAACATAATAAGTTATTTACTTAGCTCATTTATTTTTATTCTTTAAGTGATTATCCTGAAATTCTTAGGAATACATTTAATTAAAAATAAAATATTTTCTGTATAAAACAGTGTCAGAAAGATCACAGTTCTTGAACATATAGCTCAAAGAATTACACAAGGTAAGTAAATTCATATATCTACAACTGAAAAGAAGACAAAGGATAATATCACAAATGTTTGACATTTAGTGAGTATTCAGTAAATGTTAGCTTTTACCTATTATTAATGTTAGGTGTTACTGAAAAACATTTCTCTTTTAGATATCACAGAATAGTGTACAGTTAATAATAGTTTTGAGTAGCAAAATAGAACCCTTGTGACTTTGAAAGTAGCATTACTTGAGAGAGTATTTGATCTAGGGAATGATTCAAATTGTGTTTTAAAAGACAAGCCAATCCCATTTTCAGTTACAATTTGCTTGTTCAATACATTGGTGAGCTGGGCAAGGTGGCACATACCTGTAATCCCAGCACATGAGAGGCTGAGGCAGGAGGATCATTGTGAGTTTGAGACCAGCCTGGGCTACAAAGTGAGCTCAAGGACAGCCTGAACTGCACAGTGAGACCCTGTCTCAAAAAGAACCCTCCCCCCCAAATTGATGAATTATATTTTGTAATTTCTTAAAAATTACTTATTTTTTCCATGTTTTCAAGGTCAGATACTTCATACTGATGTGGTTTACTTGCACTGTGGGCAAGGCTTCCGAGAGGCAGAGAAAATAAAGAAACTTTTGCTGAATTTCAAGTATGTAAATAAGTTATTGAGTATTTCAGTGGCTCAGCCAATCAGAAATAACTTTGAAGCCCCAAAGTTGGAGCGGGGATTAAGGGAGGTACTTTGATGAGAGAGAAGGAACCTTGTAAAGCACTGCTGGGGCAAATTGCTACAAAACTACATATAGAGACTCTGGAGAAGCCTGTTCCCTTCCCTTGCTACCCTCACAGACAGGGATGGTGATTGGGCAAATGTGAGCATTTATTTCTTGTTTGACTGATCATGATCTGCCTTCTTTCCCTGCCTCCCTGCCTCCCTGCTCGCTTGCTTGCTTAATTTCTTTTTCTTTCTTTCTTTCTTTCTTTCTTTCTTTCTTTCTTTCTTTCTTTCTTTCTTTCTTTCTTTCTTTCTTTCT